ATACACATAGAGCTATCTCTCCCAAGAAATCAACCACTGCTTCCTCTTTCCTGTTTTGAACGTGAAGGGTTTTGTTTTGTTTTTTCCTAAATGTATTGTGTGAGGACAATATGTAGGGCATATTCTTTGGCACCACATAAATATTTACTTAATATTTGAAATTCACTGTCATGAAGCGTTTGTTCCCATGAAAACAGCATCTCCTACTTTCCTCATGGAAAATAAGAGGTACCACAGCTTCATGTTCCAGGACCTCATGCATGGAGGTTGACTCCAGCATTCCTCAGACCCCAGCATGACTTGGTATTCATTCCTGTACCTGGCAAGGATGCTGTAATGACATTTTGTTTATCTTAGTGTTTGAAAGGGAAACAGCCCATTGTGGTGGGAAGGTATGGCGGTTAGAAACAGCTGGTTACATTGTAATCTGTCAAGAAACAGATGAAAGCCTGTGTTCCGCTCACTTGGACCCCAGTCTAAAGGATGGTATTAACTATATTTGAGGTAGGTCACTCTCCTCTGCTTTAGTTAAATCTCACTGGATATATCCTCACAGATAGGTCTAGTGGTGTTTCTCCTAGGTGACTCCAGATCCAGTCAGGTTGGTGAGATGAAATGCCACAGCCCTGTTCCTTCCAGTCCAGTGTCTGAGCTGGTTGTGGTGTTCCCCTCTCTTGCTAGGTAAAGAACTAGAAACCTAAAAAGACCAATGATTTGTATAGAAATTTCAAGTTTGCAACAAAGACAAAAATCTGACCTATGCACCTGATACCCACTTCAATTATACTGCAGAAATAGAAGTCAGTGGTAGGAGCTCAGGAAGAGATCTGCTTGAAGAACAGCTCCTGTATGCCTCGGGGATAATCCTGTAGTGAACAAGTACAGCAGTGCCCTGGGATGGCCAGTGTGCCTGTGGTCCCTTGAGCTTGGCAGTCCCTCCCACACACAGCCTGGAAGCACCCCGGAATCCATAGCCTGATACAAATGCATTTCCTGTTGGCATTTCATAAAGTGAAAAGCATCTCTAGAAGACTAGTGTTGAGGGTGCCCGTGACCTCACCTGAGAGGCAATATTCAGTTCCATCTGCTTCTGTGTGGAAAGAGATGTGGCTGGTTAGTGTGAGGACAGCAAAGATGTTGATCCTTCAAAGGACCTGCCTGCCAGCAAGAATAGTATGGTGTCTGGTGGCAAGCCCACCTCTTCCTGAGTCTCCAAGTAGTCTTAAAGTCTAGAAGGAAAGACCATCCCTCCCACCAAAGAAAGGAGACTGAGTACATTTATTTGCATAGAGTACTAGCTACAGAGTGCATAATCCTTTTGTGTTCTTGCTATCACCTGCTTGTAGCTTCTGGTGATTTTCCTTGTTGGGGCTGTTTGATATTTACTGGTGTAAAGGGTTCCAGGAGTTTGACATTTGTAGACTAATTGGAGGACATAGCACACATGCCTTGAATGTGCTGAGGTTTGGGGTATTGCAGTTCTCTTCACTCTCAGCTTGTACCTTCTGTGGGTTCTTGTTCTGTCATACCAATTAGGTTCCCTACTTCCACAGAGAGTTTTACAAAGCAATCATACGAAATGCTAGCCTTCCCTAACTTTTGAGGACCCTTTCTGCTGTGTGGCATATAGAGTTATGACATAAGGCATATGAGAATTGCCTGGGTCCTCTGGGCAAAGGGACAGTCCCAACAGCTTGGTGTGGTACAGTACATCCAGAGACAATAGTGAGCATCCTTCAGAGGTAGAGGTGTCGTTTGTCAATTTCCCAGGCTGGGAGCCTGGGGATATTTTTATTCTATGCTGTCCTCTAACTCCTTACATATTTAGCCCCCACATACTGACACCCCCAACTTTGTGTTATTTGTTATATTTTAATGGCTCATCAAGTCCAGTTTATCCTGTCCACATACTTCTGGGTGTGGGTCCATCCAGTGGAATATGGTTAACTTAGCTGGGTGCATAGCCTTCAATAAAACTGTCCATAGCTGTAAAGTCAGGGATGGGGCCCCTTCCTCTTTTCCTTCCCCATGCTAGAATCTGTAGACTGGCTTCGTGTAGTTCACCTCTAATGCAGACAACCACAGCTGCTTTAAGCTTGAGTGCCACAGTTCAGTCATGACCAAAGATATTATTTGTCCCCTGTCATCCCCAGCCTTGGGCTTTTACAGTAGCCTTTCTGTCCCTTCTTCTGAGATGGTTCACTTCCTTGAGGGGAGAGTCATATAGATGTCCCATTTAAGGCTGAACATGCAAGACACGGTTTTCTTTCTCTGTGTGACATGACAAAGCGATGTTCATGCATTTACCACATTACTCTTTAGCTGCCCAATCACCAACAGGCATTTAGGTGGCATCTCTGTTTTTGCTACATCAAATCAGGGAGAGCAAACATAGCTTCAAAGTCCTGATTTTAGTTCTCCGGGTTGTAGATCCAGAGCTGGGGGTGCTAGGCCAGTTCTCTTTTTAAGGTTTTGGAGGATTTCCTTACTGCTTCAGACAGTTACAAGTGTTAGCCCTCAGCTCAGTTCTAGGAGGAAGTCTCCAGCTCAGCTCTAGCTTGATATCTTTGGAGGAAGGTATACAATGTCTTCAGCGAAAAAGTCCTATCCATGAGTGTGGCCTGCAGCCAAGAAAAAAACAACAGCCTCTGGCCTCCATGACCAACATCACTTAAAGAACTCACAAACTCTCTGATACTGTAATTTTTGTTTAATAACTCATAGTTTTAGGAGTAGCTTTGTCCAACCATGTATAATATTTACCCCTGCCCCATGTATGCCTTGGCTTACAAAATACTAGGTTTTCACATGGCTTCTTCACACATCCTTCATTCTGTTAACTCTTGGACCCCCATCCCTTGCCCCGTCCTCACACTTTACCCTCAGCTTAAGCTTTTCCACCTACTTCGCCCCTCTACTTTAGTATAGCCTCTGTTCTACCGTCCCTCCTTCAGGAAGACATCCCCCATCTGCAATGACCTCCTTCCAGCTTCCTGATTTCTACAGATACTCCAAGTTGAACAGGGTCTCTCTTTGTAGCCCAGGCTGGCTTTGAACTTACAGCAGTCCCCTTGACTCAGCTTCCTGGGTGGTAGCATTGCAGGCATGAGCCTCCACGGCTTGTTCTCTCCCAATACATTGACATACAATCTAACTTAAGAGGCAAGGCAGAGAGATGTGCTCAGGGGCTGAAGTAATAGAGATATTTGAGCAAGTTCCATTCAGACAGAGCCCAGGGTGCAGGAGTGACACTTGGTAGCCTCCTGACCTGCACAGATGCCTCCCTTATTCTTAACCTTCGTGACTTTATAATGTCCCACCAATCTCCCTGACCCCTCCCATGGGTATCTGAAAATAAATACTATTGACTTCCGTGGTTGCTGTATTGCCACTCTGAATCAGATCGAACACAGTTTGGGACATTTGAATGAACTGCTGATCATCTATGCAGAAAGCTGAGAGGTGAGGTTTCTGGGGAATACTCTGCCATAACTGGAGAAATTGAATTGGACTTCTCACTGAAAACAGGGTTTTCCAGGATGCAGACAGACGACAAACTTGTGAATCTGATTGCATCTTAAATGTATCAGGAACTGATTTACTACTTTAGTGTATTCTGGGGTGAGTTTTATGAAAGAAGTAAATGGTTGTTTTTTGATTTTTGGTTTTTTGTTTGTTTGGTTGGTTGGTTGGTTGGTTTTGGCAAAAAAGAATCTCCATCCTGTGATGCTGGGGTTGGGCTTAGACTTTGTAGATCAGGTTTGTTACAAATAATTTCTGCCACATAGATTGGATTTTTAGTTATTTACTTTCCTTCTGTGATAACTAGGGATGTCTCAGTAAATAAAGGAACCCGATGCCAAGTCTGACACCATGAGTTCTTTCCTCAGGACCTGTTGGTAGAAGGAGAGAACCAACTCCTGAACGTTGTCTTTTGATCTCCACATGTACACCAAGACTGGGAATGTGTGTGTGTATATTCACACTCATGTGTGCACATATATATGAACAAAGAGATCTCTGTGTTAAGCCACCAGGGGTGTTCCTGTGAGACCTGGCCATCAGGTTAAGGACCTGCATGTGACAGTGTAGGAAATGATGGACTCTCTGTACTCAAGGGGAATTGATGTCATTGAGGACATTTTGAAGCAGTAGTCACCAGTTAACAAGGAACCCCCAAGGAAGCTATAGACCAAGGGGTCAAAGAGCAATAGGCAGACCCCCATCTTCATCATCTAGGGTTCTGTTAGCTCTGCAGCCTGGGAGCTGTAAGGCCAGCTCCCAGCAAGCAGCGAGCAGGCCACCTGGGTCCTGCAGCTCCCTCAGCAACCTGGGGTTTGTTCCTGGGATCACCTTTTCTCTCCTCTGCTCTTGGAGGCCTAACTAAATGTTCTTCTATGGGTGCTCTTGAGTCCTCTGCTTTCACGGTGTCATCCCTTCCCTCCCTCCGACCTTTGAGAAGGATGGATTGTGCTAACGTGAGGATGAGGGAGATGGAAGACTTAACAGACAGCTACTCCTCAGAGCCAGGCAGCAAGTGAACATGGGTTACCAGCACCAGCCTTCCAGACACACCACGTGCTCAATGGTGTGGCCCCCATTCATTCAGAGAGGTGAATGCTGAGGCTTGTGCCAGTGGATCTGACTCTTACCTGTCCAAGTTCACACCACCTAAAAGTTTGCAAAGTGAACACTTTGATCCCTCAAAACGTGTGTGCGTGCGTGCATGTGTGTATGTATGTGCGTGTGTGAGTGTGTGTGCGTGCGTGCGTGTGTGTGTGTGTGAGTGTGTGTGTGTGTGTGTATGTGTGTGTATGTATGTATTCTGGGTATGTCCTCCAGGAGGCTCACTTCTTCCAGCTGAGCACCTAGATACCTCAGAGCCCTCAGCCTCTCTGGCAGCAGAAAGGCTGCCTCCTGCCCAACCCAGCCCTGCCTGAAGGTCAGTGTTAATGTGCACAAACCCACGCCGTCATCTTTCTGCTTCTGTGTCTCTGCAGCCCCCAAAGACAATGAAGAGCGAGTGTTCAGGGAGCGTATGCGGCCCAGGAAGCGGCAAGGGGCTGTCAGGCGCAGGGTTCACCAGGTCAATGGCCACAAGTTCATGGCCACCTACCTTCGGCAGCCCACCTACTGCTCCCACTGCAGAGATTTCATCTGGTAAGTTCCTCACTGAGGCACGGCTGGGTTATAGCTTCTCTGAGGAGAAGGGAGGGAGGGATCAGGCGTGGGGTGGGAGATGATGAACCTCAGTCCAAAGTGCTGATGGGAATAAAAGGTTTTCTCCTGGGCACGGTGGTGGTACCTGGCTTTGATCTCGGCACTCGGAGGCAGGGACAGGCAGAGCTCTGTGAGTTCGAGGCCAGCCTGATCTACATAGTAAGTTCCAGGTCATTAAAAGCTACACAATGTGATACCCAATAGAGTATGGGGTGGAGGGAGGAGGGAGAGTAAGAGAGAGGTACAGAGAGGGAGGAAGGAGAGGCTAAGAGAGAGGGGGAGAGTAAGAGAGAGGGTATAGAGAGGCGGAGAGGGAAGAGGGGAGGGAGGGGGGGGAGAGGTTTTCCCATGAAAGCAAATAACAAATGAAGTAAAGTTCTTCCAGACAGAAGGACTGTGTTTTAATTTGAAACAAAGGAGAGATTTCTCTAATAAAAGTCCGAGTGTGCTGCGAATTAACCTTAGGAGCTCCATCTGCAGTAACTGTGAAGAATTTCTTTAGAACTCTGGTTTTAAAGTTTGAACGACAGACCTCAGTAAAGAAAGAGTACTGCTTTCCTTGATTCTCATCACAGTGTGGTGCTGACATTGGCCCAGAAGAACTGGACAACAGTTACAGTAAAGGTTTTCCTAAATAAACCACTGGCATATGGGTATGAGCTTTGACCATTTCACAGGAATTAGATTCTGATTTTAAAAAATGAGTTTTACCATGCATATTAAAAAAAAATAAGCAGCAGGCTTTCTAGCATATTCTCTGAGTTCTTTGGAGCTGGAGTAGAATCAACACACTTGGATCCAGTGAGCAGAGCCAATGAGCTCTCTGGAAGGGCTCTCTGGAACATGCCTGTATATCCAAGCAGAAGAATCCCAGTGTGGCCCTAGCCACCAGACATGTGAGTTTCAGGTGCACTGAATACTAGGACATTGTTGGCTGGGTTTGACTATTTCCAGGTTAACTAACCTTGCCAGGGGAACCCTGTTGTGCCTCTGAAAGGAACCTCTACTGGCTAATTGAACCATAGAACCCTCAGTACTAAGTGTAGACTGCCCATAATTCTTGACAGGCTTTGGGATGCCCAGGGTGTATGCCAGTGGATGGCAGGCCTTACCTACCATCACAGAGCTGTCTGTGGGCACGCCTTGGTACTAGGAGTTAAGGAATGCCCATTTATCCACGAGGAGGAGGTGTTTAAAATTCACTGGCTTCTGCCCAGAACCAGCAGGATCATTGGTGGATTTCTAGTGCACTATTATCCCCACGGGTGTGAATATTTGTACAAGAAACCAAGTGCCGATGCAGGCCGGCCTTGTACCTGCTTCACAAGTGAGGCTGTCCCTGTGGCCTTCTGGGAGGCATTTTAACCGTCTAAGTGGCAGGGAAGTCACACTGATCAGCAGACTCCAGTACTGGGTACAAAATGGACGGTGCCCCAAATCACATGGCTTTGTCTGCTTATTATTTGACCGACCTAGTAAAATTCCATCTTCTTCCTTTCAGGGGTGTCATAGGAAAACAGGGATACCAATGTCAAGGTAAGAGGCATGTTATAGACTTAGCGTTTGGAACCTGTAGTTAGATTAAGATTATAACCCCTTCTAGAAGGTTCTTGCAAAGTTGAATACAACCTTGTTCAGTTCATTGCCTTCCCTCTCCAAGAAGTGTGACCCCCCCTCAACTTTGCCACTGCCTGACCATCGCTCCTACTACATATGTGGTCCATGCAACAGAAACACCACCCATCTCCTGGCAGCCCAGTAAGTGCCCTCCGACAGCACTTTGGCTGCAGTAGCAGAAGGCGATATTGCTTTCATTTTTTTTTTTTTTATTTCTATAACACTTCAATTAGAGGATCACTGGTATCTCCTGTATCCCTTGGGTCTCTGTGTTCTCCCTGCTCCCCCTCCTCAGGCTCTCTGGAGGCCTCTCTCACTGGCTTGTTAGTAGCCCTGAATGGTCCTTGCTGGTTCTTTGTGTGATTTCTACTGTGGAATCCTTATTAAACACTTACAGCTCACTTGAGGTGTTGGCGATTGCTTTCCTCTAGATAATTGACTACAAATGCAAGGTCAGGTTGCACCACTAGGTGGAACTGAGATGTAGTCATTTCGAGACTTCCCTCTAGTTGAGAACTGGGGAGCCATGCTATGTCCCTTGAGAGTCTGACTTCAAGCAGAACTTGTGGGGGTGGGGTGTTCTGCTAATGATCGCTATGATTTAGGACAGTATATATACAGACAGACACCTTCTTAACTACCAATGACTCATTACCTCCTTAACCCATGACCTTGCAGCTAGAGCATAGGCCACACTTTGTAGACTTAACTAAAGCCAATGGAGATTTTTAAGTTTGGCACATGGTGATCATAAAGCAGATTTTTTTTTTCCCTTTTTAAGCCTAAGAACTCATGTAGTATACGCTCCAGTCCTGACACCAAGTAAGTAGTCCTCGTGACACGGTCCTGAGGGGCAGTGCAGTACCTTTCATAGAGCGGTCTCCACGGTCGGCTGGACAGCAGGGTGGTCCCTGACTTTGGCGGATGACAGAGGGAAGCTGAGCAGCCTTCTCGGGGCTTCCAGAGCCCTTGGAGGCTTGATGAGGGGACCAGATTAGATTAGATTAGGACATTGTCTGAAGGAGCGCAGCTCCAGACATGTCTCCACCGAGACTTGATTAAATCTTGGGTGGACTCTCACTTGGGCTTCTTATGTTTTTATCATTTGCAGTTTGCACTTGCGTCGTCCACAAGCGATGCCATGAGCTCATTATTACGAAGTGTGCTGGGCTAAAGAAACAGGAAACTCCCGACGAGGTAAATATTTGCAACACTTGGATCCTGTGCTTTCTTCCTTTCCGGCCTCTCCCTTCTCTGTCCCCTCTTGTCACTCTGAGATCCCGCAGTTGTCTTCATCGCAGTGAGCAAACATGAAGGGTGGACCACTGCCTGCTGGCTTGAAGCACCATCTATTAAATGAACACAACTTAATTTTTACCAGGGCAAAGTAGGAGCCCAGAGATGAAGACTATGAGGGAAATATGGAGTTTTATCTGTCCATTTATTTATTTTCGAGACAGGGTCTTAGTATGTAGCTCCAGCTGTCCTGGAACTCACTTTGTAGACCAGGCTGGTCTCTGACTCACAGAACCTCCCAAGTGCTGGGGTTAAAGGCATGTGCCGCCATCGCCTGGCTTTGAAATGCGGAGTCTTATTTCATTACCTCATTGGGGCACTGAAATGGCACAAGGATGTGTCCACGTGCATGTGATAAGCAAATAGAAGCAGCACACAGCAGGAGCCATGCCTTAATGAGGTCATCGGAAACTGAAATGAACAACCCAGGAAGTATGGAGGAGACAGAGCCCAGAGTGATGTCACCGCGAGCTTACTGCACCCTGACTCAGAAACACTTTAGCATATATTATTTAGCCCTATAGCAACTATAAGGAGGTAGATATTACTGTCTTCGTCTTAGCATAGCGAGAGTAGGAACACCAAAGTGGCCACATATAACTTGTCCAAGACACACACTCCCTGTCTCTTAAGCTTAGAAATCAGTGTCAGACTGGCTTTAAAGAAATTCCCAGCACTACAGGGATGTGAAATTCCACAAGGCAGTCGAAGAATCGGGATAGTGGCACCACAGTTCGGCTAGAAGACTTTCCTGAGGGAGATTGCAGGTGTGGTGCTGAGAGCTGAGATGATGCGCATGCCCAGACAGTGAATTTCAAGGTATGCTTTCAGCTCCAGGTTCAGTAAGTTCTGTATAACCACAAGTCACTAGAATCAGGCCAAAGGAACCCAGGGAGACTGCATACCTGGGTTTAGAATGAAGAAGGTTATAATCTGAGTTCCCCAAAGTGACTTACAGAGTTCTTCTACCTGCTTCCTACAAATAAGGTGTGCCTTGGAGGACATTCCTCATTTTCCAGTCTCCTCTTGCTTTTGTGCCTGCCTCTGAAAGGGCAGGGCTTAAGGTTGAGCCACCTGCCCTCCAGAGGATAAACTAAAGCCTGATCCCCACAGTTGTTCACAGGGGGTCTGTTGTCCTGGTTGAATGTGAAAACCAGAGACTGGACTATAGCTTAGCTGATAGTGTTTGTCTGGCATGCAGAAGGTTCAATCCCCAGTACCACACAAACCAAGCATGGTGGTGAGCACCTGTAATCCCAGCACTAGGAAGATGGGGACAGGAGGACAAAAGTTCAGGGTTATTCTTGGCTTCGTGATGAGTTCAAGGCCAGCCTGTGATACCTGAAACCCTGTCCTGAGGCCGAGGAAGGAAACATAAAGTATAGCAGCCCAGCAGCTGCCTCTTCTGACCCTAGGTTTATACCCTACAGGACATTGTCACTGCCACTGGTTTCACAAGACGATGGAGAGGGAGATAGTGCCTTTACCGTCAGACTTCCTTCCTATGGACATTCCTTTGATGATTTACTGGGCACTTCCTGTGTGGCAGGCATTGTGCCCTGTCCCATGAAAGCAAAGAGCACATAAGCGCAGACTTGATGGTCCTCACAAGTCTCATTGCCCGGGAACCTCAGGTTTATGAAGCTTGCCCTCACTTCCTGGAAGGGAAATGTCCCATAAGACTCTGGGCTTTGCACAGTGGCCAGCTGAGATTGGAAACACAGTTTGATGCTTCCTTCTGTTTTTCCTGACAGATTGAGCAGTGATGTCTCCAGGGAGGTATGCTCCTAAATGTGGCCTATGTCCCCAGAGACAAAAATGGCCAGGGTCTCAAGAATGGGGTTTCTTAGTGTGGTGGAGTGGATTGCCCATCCTGGTGTCCCCATCACAGTCTTGTGCATCTTGAGGCTAACACCTCTTGGGGCCGTTGAGTACCTTTGTGTTGCGTGACTAGTCTTCGAGTCCATTCCTTTGAGTCGATACCTTTAATGTAATGAATGTGCATACATACATCTGCACACACCATAAATACTTGCAGCCCCAAATGCTGTATTTCCCGTGTCCTCTACTGAAAAGTGCTCTTCTTCAGTAACAAGCAAGAAAGCCAGCTTGGGCCACGTAGGAAGACTCTATCTCAAAGAAAAACAAACAGCTCTGATGAGGGGCTTCTTGGACCTTTTCTTTCCCACCTTGAACACTTGGCTAGTTGCTTGTCTCATAATCTAACAGTCTGCATACCCCTTGTTGGCACAGTAAATAAGATGCCCTATGTTTGTGTCAACCTTCCTTTCATTTCCTTTAATCTTGCAATCCTTTCTCTGTTCCTCCTCCTCTGTTTTCTCTGAGAGTCCTGCTCATGTGCACTCCATAGTAGGTGTGTGTGTGTGTGTGTGTGTGTTGTCTTTGTGTTTGCTTCTCCATAGGTCTCTGGTGTGATCTTGCATGTGTCCTCATCATCTTCCCACTGTTCTCTGATACCTCAGAGTCTTTATTGATCCCAAGTGAGATTCGTGTGTGAAGGAGATAATAGCAGCATTCTGGTTCCATGGGAGAACTGTCCATTTCTGGGAGCTGAGTGACTAGGAACTCCACAGGCACGGCTTCATAGTCACACCCTAATCAGTGTCTGTGCCCAGCTCTTGTTACTCCTAAATCCTTCCACTCCACATTCAGCTGATGACCCCAGGTACACTACAGGCTGTCCTCACCTTCCTTTGCATGGTTTCCTGCCCCGTCTGGGAGGGGCTGGTTCATGTGGCTGCTTCACCAGATGAATGAGGAAGGAGTAGCTCTAGAGATATCTGAGAAGACCCAGGGAAGTAGACCTGCCGATTGGTGGCTCTTGGTTCTGTAGACCCCTTCGTCCCCATCTCTCCTCCATTATTTCACTGATTCCGCCCTCCTGTGACATCAGGCAGGGCAGGGAGAATATCTTTATTTTTCCAGTTGAGAAATCCAAGGTCCCAAGAAACCTTAGTGAGATCTCACTAGAAATTTGTTGGCAGAGCTCAGGCTACTGACCAGACACCTACATTTCTGCCCAAATCCTCCCTGTCTATCCTGACTTTCACCTTTCACTAACGAACAAGTAGCAGCAGAGTAGATTAGAGCCCTGAGCTCTGAAATCCGACATGTGGGAGCAGGAGCCTGTCTTTGCATCTGTTGGATGTATAGGTGTGTTTCTGAATTCAACACTACTTTCATTTCCTTGTCGGTGAAGCTGAGTAAATAGTAGCCCACCCCAGATAGTGGTGGTAGAGTTTAAGGCAATGGTGTCCACCTGTGACCTCCACTCTGGTAGCCATCTTCACCTTCTATACTGTGCTGCAGTCACATGTTACTTTCTGGGATCCTTGGTTCCCCCTTCAGCTGCTGGAAGCTTCTCTGCCCCACCCTCAGCTAGACCTCTGTGCACAAAGTAGTTCTGAAATCCTCAGTAATGTTTTGTGAACGACTTCAGTGTGAGGTGCTCATTGCTAAGTGTGTTACAGTTGTTCAGGGGTCTGATGTCCTGGAGGGGTATGCATGGAAGATGACTCCTGTTGCCTGTGAATTAGGACAACTTCAAAAGTGAAAGCTGAGCCAAAGGAGAGGTTGCCTTCAGGGGCCTGCAGTGGCGTGTGCCTTTGGAGGATGTAATTCTCTAAGAACCCTTCTAGGAAACCAGAGAGTAAGGAGCTCCCTGAAGGAGCTGGGTGCCGATGTTGTGTCTTCCCAAATGCTGATGCTGTGTCTTCCCAAATGCTGATGGTGTGTCTTCCTGGGTGCTGGTGCTGTGTCTTCCTGGGTGTTGATGCATTGATGCTGTGTCTTCCCAAATGCTGATGGGGTGTGTCTTCCCAAATGCTGATGGTGTGTCTTCCAGGGCGCTGATGCTGTGTCTTCCCAGGTGCTGATGCTGTGTCTTCCTATCCCTGCAGGTGGGCTCCCAACGGTTCAGTGTCAACATGCCCCACAAGTTCGGGATCCACAACTACAAGGTTCCCACGTTCTGTGACCACTGTGGGTCCCTGCTCTGGGGCCTCTTACGGCAGGGCTTACAGTGTAAAGGTAAGTCTTTTCCTGACCCCTCATCCTAGTACCCATGTGGCCCCATCTTTTTTTCTCCGTTTTGTAAAACCATTCTGTCCTTATAGCATTGCTTTCTAAAATGGGTTCCAGATTTGGTTGTAGCATTAACCCTTGATAAGCCATTGGAAGTTCCATGACTATCTACCTTTTAAGACCTCTCTTTGAAGAGAATAGTTATTGCAGTTAAATAAGGATCAGGATAAACAAATAGGCCGAATAGGTGTTTATTCAGGGAGAAATAACTTACAACCTAGACAGATGAACACCAGCAAGTTCCACCAGATGCTCTCCTGTCTGAGTCCCGCAAGCAAGAGAGCGTTCCTCAGACTCTTCCTCAGACTTCCTTCCACAGGTCACTTCTGCCCATGGTTCCACCCCCAATGGGTGTGGTCAGTGCCACAGAAGGAGACAAAGTAAATATCTCACTACAATTCCCCTTTTCGTCTAAAGAAAAGATTTAGGCTTAATACAAAACTATATACAAAACAGTGAATAACAAGTGTGCTCTAAGAAAAGGAAAATCGAGAACAAAATGACTTACATATCTAGTCCTAGGGTGAAGGCATAACGGAGTTTACAATAGAGTTGTCCTAAGCTGGAAAACGTAAGTTCAGTACCTAATATATCTAACTAGGAAGAGAGAATAATAGTTGTGATAGTTTAATCTTCAACCTCATCAAGACCTGAGAAGGAAAATAACGATACTAGGGTAGACAGGAAGTGTGAATGGGCAACTTCCAAAAGGTACAGCAAGGTCAGAAACAGCAAGCTACCTGAACAGTCACCCAAGGTCTCACAGCAACGTTGGTACACCCAGTTTTGGCTAAGGCCAAGAGAACTTGACAGACCACAACAACAGCAGGGAGGTAGAATGGCTGTCTTACCCTGACTTGGCAAGGTCCAGCAGTCTTCTATATTTGTCTCCTGGAAGTACATAGGACTGCATTTCCAAATCAGTGGTCGGGGGTGGGGCAGTTCTTTGCCCAACAGGCCATTAGCTGAGGCGAGAATGAACTCCAGCAGGAGCAACAACAGTGTCCAACATATTTTCGGGAAAGTGCACAGTGCTGTCAGGAGCAACAGTGTCACATGTCAATGGAGTACGAATATTAAAACATTTAAATGCCATGTTCTGCATGTCTATGAAGTGATTGAAGACTAAGTATCTATATCTGACTAATCTCATAGGTACAGTAAACATGAGTGAAGATAATCTGTAATACTCAGGAACTTAGCTAAAAAACTGATTGAAACTTCCCTGAGTAAAGCAGGAACAAATAACCTAAACAATATAACTATGTACATATACATACATATAAATCCCTAAAATAGAGGTAAAGTAGAAATGTCAAGACAAGAGGTAGAACTATAAAGGGCAGCATGATAAATATCCCAAATTGTATCAATATACAAAATGTCTTGAATACAAGAAAAGTATATATACATAGAATATGGCAAGAATAAATATGCATAAATTATATCAATATATGAAATGTCTTGAACATAAGTAAAAGTATACATACATAGAATATGGTAAAACTAATGTGCATAAAACATAAGTAGAAAGATTTCACACAATATAACAAAATATAAACTAAATTTTACATAGCTTACCACATATAAGAATATATAACAATATAAACTGTAAAATACTAATATCTCACTCTTACTCAAATTCACAAGAAGACAGGCTAATCTACCTATATCCCATCTAAACCATACCTTTCCCAACCATACCCTATTCCTGTCTAAAAGATAAACCCAAGTGTAAGCATCACCTTCCATACCCAACCCTAAATAACTAAAACCAACCCAAAGAAGATGACTATTACCCCAAAATTCCAAGGGTAGGGAAAGGGGGCATCGTCATCTTAAGGTTACTTCCTGCTGAAATGGGATGATGATTGCTCCATGGGATCCTGTAGGAAGAAAATTTTTAGCAACCAAGTTTCTCAATAGAACTGGCTGTGACATATGTAGCTAGTCACTGTGTGGCAGAAAATGCTTGACTGTAGTTCTATTTGAAACTCTGGCCAGGGTGTAATAAGAAGGTGCCTTCTCAGGCCCGCTGTGGAGGCAAAGGAGTTGTAGGGCAGAGGCAAATGTCCCAAAGCTGTGGTGAGTCCACCTGGTTAGGCAAGGGAGCCTGCCCCGTTGGGGATGGTGGGGGAGGGGAGCAGCGTCTGCCACCTGGGTGAAACCCAGGTCCTGTGAAAATCCTAATCCGGCTTCTGACACCAGATATTGCAGTTAAATAAGGATCACGATAAACAAATAGGCCGAATAGATGTTTATTCAGGGAGAAATAACTTACAGCCTAGACAGATGAACACCAGCAAGTTCCACTGGATGCTCTCCTGTCCAAATCCTGCCAGCAAGAGCAGCTCTTGCTGCTTCCCCAGCTCTTCCTCAGACCTCCTTCCACAGGTCACTTCTGCCCATGGCTCCACCCCCAATGGGTGAGGTCAGTGCCACAGAAGGAGACAAAGTAAATATCTCACTAAAAATAGTCATGAGTACAGAAGAAATGTGACAAGGAAGATGCAGCTGTGCCTTGTAAAGTGGCTGGCAACCTGAGAGAAACTAAATGGGAGGCTTAAAGAGGCTACGAGCCAGAAGGGAGGGCATACTTTTAGAGTTAGGTTATTGAAGGAATAGGTATAAATTGATGGTTTTCTGTGTCCAGTCTTTGTTCCGAGGTGCCTCTTAGAAAAATTATGCTAGGGTATTGTCACCTGAGATGTCTGACTGATCCTCCATGGGCTGTACATAAATGGCCAAATTCCCATGGCAGAAACTGAGCTTCGGAAATGAAATAATCTGCACTCAGCCCACAGCTTATCAACAGAGGTGGAACGTGACCCTCACAGCTTGGATTCCTCTCTCTGTTCCTGCGATGACACCTGCGAACTGTCCGTTCCACTGAGTGTGCTGAGTGACCCTGGTAACAACACATGAATGTGAGAAGTGGGGACATAGTAAGAAAGCTGAATAAAGGGTCTAGTTGTAGATGGTCCAGTGTGCCCACAGTGTTCAACAACCACGAACAAAGCAAGACATCTACATGGAGGTTATTTTTAAATTAGGTTTTAGTTTTTTATCCTGATTATACTCATATGTAATAACATTTTTAAAAATATAGAGCATAAATAAATAAACGAATAGTGTATGGACACACTGATTGCCCAAAGGATTTTACTGAGACATTAGCGACATTGTAAGTCATAGTTGCAGTAGAAATAAAGAAGAGAGAATAACAAGATATTAGAGGACCAGTTCATTGTGTAGAGTGACTAGCACAGGTGGGAGAATAATGGAACAGACTCTAGAATGGGAGCTATGGGAGCGAGGTCAGGGCTGGGGGGGGGGGGGCAAAATGATAAATTTGAGCTGGGGATGGGTTGTCCTTGAGGATCATGCCCCTGGAACATGGAATGTTTCGTTGTTGGTCGTTCCCATTGAAACATAGCGAGTGGATGGGGGTTGAGTTGACCTTTCCAATGATTAGTAGCTATAGAGAAGATGTCACCCTCTGGCTAAAGACCTCAGGCATGATGAGAGAAGAGTTAAGGATGGACCTGTCAGGACCTGGAATTGTGGGTTCTAGCATAAGTCTGAATAGGCAACAGGAAGAAGGAAGGACCAAATGGGTAGGAGGAAAAGTAGCAAAGACTGGAGGAAGAAACACACACTCCCCACACAAGGCAAAAGCCGGGAGAGTGAAAGATGAATGTCCTTATGATTTTGCCTAAGGTAAGACATGAAACATGAGCTCCTCATAAGAAGGCTCGCTCGCAGCCACCACAGGAGGGACACTGGCTTGGCATCTCACGTGCGGTAGGACAAAGTGAGAACGTAGGGGCGGTGTTTTCAGAATGCTTTACAGCCAGGAAGATGATCGTTGAGCGGTTGAGGAGATCAAAGGGAGAGGTTACTTCTGGTATAGCCAGTGACCCATGTGGGTCCCCATGGAGCCAGATATAGTTGGAATTTTCTTTGGGCGGTCAACCATCTCCCAAATAAAGACACGGAGACCTATTATTAATTATGAAAGGTCAGCCTTTAGCTGATACTTGTCTCACCACTTCTTATAACTTAATTTAACCTGTTTCTATTCATCTGTTTTGCCTCAGGTCTTTTACCTTTCTTTCATTCTGTATGTCCTGCTTTCCTGCTTCCTCCATGTCTGTCATCTGACTGGCTGGCCCCTGGCATCTCCCTCTCTACCCCTGCCTCCCCCTGTCTCTGTCAAGCTTAGAGCCTTCCTCCTACTTACTGTTTCTACCTAGAAGTCCCTCCTATACCTCCTACCTAGCTATTGGCCATTTAGCTTTCTATTAGACCAATCAGGTACCTTAGGCAGGCAAGGTAAACAAATGCAACACATCTTTACATAGTTAAACAAATATTTCATAAACAAATGCAACACATTTTTATACAGTTAAACTAATATTCCACAACAGCCTGGTCCTGCTTCTTGCTCTAATCATGGCTCTGCCCTGCTCTCCTGCTCAGCATCCCCCCCCATGTTTTCACCATTGTAGGTATGCTGGTGGGTCACCCTAGGCTAGAGCTCAGCTCCTCTGCTACATTTGGTTCATCTGCAGCTCTGGGGACTCAGCTCTGGTGCCACTCCTACTCCTGAAAACAGGTTCTTCAGAACTTGAGTGTAAACGTACAGACCCGTGTCACTGCCCTGGTCACACTGTGCCTTTCACTTGAAGTTACCTGAGCCCCACGAGTGCAAGCATTGCACATCTGTTCTGTCATGGACTGTCCCTTTGTCAGTTTGGGTTGTGGGGAGAGTACAATTATATCTTGCATCACTTGGTGGCAGAGATTTATAATGTTATTAAGAGGCCGTGTTGCTGTTGTGCAAGCATTACCGAGCATGCTGGCAGTCTGTGATGGTTGGGATGTGCCTGAGTGATGCAGTCTGTGATGGTTGGGATGTGCCTGAGTGATGCACCTGAGTGACC